AAAGAAGAGCTTTTAGAAACTAAAAATGAAAGCAAACAAACATACTTCAACATAATAAAGGCCACGTGTAACAAACCCACAGCTAACATTACTCAATGGTCAAAACCTGAAAGCTTTCCCTGTAAGATCAGAACAAGACGAGGATGTCTGCTTTCACCATTTTTATTCAACATAGTACTAAAAGTCCCAGCCACAGAAATCAGACAAGAAAAAGAAACAAAAGGCATCCAATTGATAGGAAGTAGTAAAATTGTTGACTATCTGCAGATGACATGATCCTATATACAGAAAACCCTAAGGACGCCACCAAAAAACTATCAGAATAAATGAATCTAGTAAAGCTGCAGGATACAGACTATACTGCAATCTGTTGCATTTCTATACACTAATAATGAAGTAGCAGAAAAAGATCTTACGAAAAAAATCCCATTTAGAATTGCACCAAAAATCATAAACTATCTAGGAATAAGTTTAACCAAGGAGGTGAAAGACCTACACTCTGAAAGATACTGATGAAAGAATTTGAAGATGATATAAACAGAAAAACAAACCATGCCCCTAGATTGGAGGAATATTGTTAAAATGCCCATACTACCCAAAGCAATCTACAGATTCGATGCAATCCCCACCAAAATACCAAGGGTATTGGGGCGCCTGGGTGGCTCAGTGGGTTAAAACCTCTGCCTTTGGCTCAGGTCATGATCCCAGGGTCCTGGGATTGAGCCCCACATGGGGGGGGGGGTCCTCTGCTCAGCAGGGAGCCTGCTTCCTCCTCTCTCTCTGCCTGCCTCTCTGCCTACTTGCGATCGCTGTCTGTCAAATAAATAAAATCTTTTATTTAAAAAAATACCAAGAGTATTTTTCACAGAACTAGAACAATCCATTCTAAAATTCATATGGAACCACAAAGACCATGAACAGCCAAAGCAATTTTGAGAAAGAACAAAGCTGGAGGTATTACTGTCCCAGATTTCAAATTATACTTCAAAGTTATAGTAATAAAAACAGTACGGTACAGGGACAAAAACAGACATACAGATCAACGGAACAGAATAGAGAACCAGAATAAACCCACAATTTTATGGTGAATTAATCTACAACAAAGGAAGCAAGAATATACACAATGGGGAAAGGACAGTCTCTGCAACAAATGGTGTTGAGAAAACTGGACAATTATATGCAAAAGAAGGAAACTAGACCACTTTCTACACCATGTACAAAAATAAACTCAAGATGGATTTAAGACTTATAAATGCAAGATCAGAAACCATAAAACTCCTAAAAGAAAACACAGCCAGTAATCTCTTGGACATGGGCCTTGCCTTAGCAGCGTTTTTCTGGACAGGTCTCTTCTAGCAAAGGAGACAAAAGCAAAAATAAACCAGAGACAAACCAAAATACTAAGCTTCTGCACAGGAAAGGAAACTATCGAAAAATGAAAAGGCAACATGGATGGACTGACTTAGAGGGGATTACACTAAATAAGTCAGACTGAGAAAGACAATGACATATGATTTTACTTATATGTGAAATCTCTAAAAACAAAGCAAACAAGTGAACAAACAAAAACCAGAAACAGACTCCTAGATACGGGCGGGGGGGGGACCTTAACAACTGATAGCTGCCAGAAAGAATGGTAGTGGAGGATGCGCAAAATAAGCAAAGGGGATTAAAAGGTACAAACTTCCAGTTATAAAACAAGTAAGTCACAGGGGTAAAAATGCAGCAAAAGGAATATATTCAGTAATATTTTATTATCCTTGTATGGTGACAAATGGTAACTACACCTACAATGGTGAGCACTGCATAATATATAGAATTGTGGAATCACCATGTTCTACACCTGCAGTTAACATAACATGATGTCAATAATACCTCAATTAAACACATACACACAATGAACCAAAAAATTTTCAAAAATATAATGAAGGGTAAAGTTATAATCTCCCAAAAAAGGAAGAAAGAAGGTTAAAAAAAGAGAGAGAGAAAACATACAACTTTTTTTGGTACACATGTGTCTTCTGCAGGAATGTAGTTGGAAATGGAAAGACTAAATGAGAATAAATCAGAGGACCTTAAATGCCTACCAAACCATTTAGATTTTAACAGCTTTGCACCTACAGGAGTGAAGTGAAAAAACAGTCACTGTTTTAAGAAGTAGAAAACTCTAAATACTGAAAACATCAACCTATTCAGAAATAGGAAGCTACAAATTCAATCTTCAATGAATGAAGCACAGAGCCTAATTAGGAGACTACAGAAATCTAACAACCTGGATTAGAGCAGTGACAGTGAGAACAAAATTATCTGGGGGGAAATCCTAAGTACTTCACTGTGACAATCCCTAAGAGCTATCAATAAACCAAATCCTCTGACTGTATCTACACATACATGCCTACATCCAATTCCCACTGAACAGCAAGAAACCGCAAGGGTCCTGCAGGGCCTGCCCAGCCTCCTGGCGGCGCGGCTAACCAGCAATCCCACACACTACCATGCAGCACTTACTTAAGTCATCATTTGCTAAAGAAACAAAATTTGAGTTTATGTGTATGATCCTGCATGTTCAATACGGTATTAACATTTCAGAAAACTCTCAAACCATGTATCCTGATTTTAGTTCAGAAAATATTTATCATTAGTTATATGCTTAACTGATACTTGCTTGCTGTTATATGTAGTTAAAAAATACAGCATACATGCTATTTTAGATACCGTCTAGGTTTCTTCCAAAAAGTTAAAAAAATACCAGGTTTAATATTCTTTTAAAAACACCCTTTAAATGGCTTTATGGCTTTATTTAAATCGGATTTATGCCTTACAGCAAATAAAGGTGGAAGTATTTTGGAAGGAAACACATCTCATCAGTATATCTGACAACTTGGTTGGGTTGTGTTTCTTTTAAAAAGAACCAGGGCTCACAGTTTATAAAGACGAACAGGCACACTCAACACCACATAAGCAGGAGGTAAAAAGGAATTCCAACATAAACTCAGGCTAGCCTCTAAAATCCAGCGGATTTTTAACCACTAATGATACCTCTAGCAGAATTTAGTTAACCAAAAGCATTGTCCATATTTAGCCATTTCAGTGTTTCGTGAACGCGCGCTTACAGTAACAATGAGCGCCACACAGAGCCACGGGGAGGCACACCAACTAAGACACTGCTGAAGCGATAAGACAAAATCCGAGCAGTCAAGAGTTGTTTCGCAAGACAGCAAAGTTTGCGAGGTGCCCTCAACAGCCTGGGAGGAGGAGCAGCTGCAACAGCAGTCCCAACCCCACAGAAACCTGATCACAGGACAGAACGTTCGTTCGTCTGTATCCAGCCGCGGTGAGAGCGCTCCGCAGCCAGGAGCAGACAGCTGCTGGAGCAGGCAGGCTGACAAAGGAATGAGCCTCTGAGCTCCAGTCTGGTAGAGCAAAATGCCTTTGTCCTTCAGCAATAATCATGTTAATAAGAGCCATCCTTCACGTCCAGAGACCCTTACACATTCGCTTCGTGCAAAATGTACATACAGCACGGTTCTGGAGAAGAGCTGCCTCCTCAAAGGGAAGGAAAGGAATATTTCAGTGGCTCTGGTGGTTGGGGCTGCTAGACATGGAACTGAGATTGTAAGATAAATTTTAATGTGTTTTATGATAATACAATAAACCAATTAAAAAGTATCCATTTAGACCGTATTTTTTCAGTATTATACTATGGAGAAAATTCTTACAAGTCACAAAAATGTCTGCTGTCTATTCTCATAAAACTCCAGCTAAGAGGAGGGTCAACGACAAATTATTAAAACATAAAGTAGACTATTAGAAGATGGATAAAAGGGAATGGAGTAAATGTGAACTCAAGTGCAGGTGGCTTAGAAATGGGCCAATATAAACACACAGGCAATTCTCTTTCCTTCCCTCTCACACATGCACGGCTTTCCACCATAAGAGCTCCCGTTCTTTCGCTTGTGAGGTGAAGTGGGAAAAAAGAGGACAAGTATTTAGAAATTTCCCAAAATGAACGGTCTTAGTGATGTAGGTCAGTGATTCTTACACACATTTCTAAAACACACTTTTCATCAAAAGGTAAAGAATAAAGGGAAAAGGATAAAGTATTGTTTTTCATAAATTTTATTTAAAATAAAGTTCTGTCCATTCTGATATCCAGTTCTTCCTATTTTGTAATAAAATTATCTTCCATTTTGTGAAATGTTGATGACAGTAGATGGTAATTTTGTTTTCAATGTCCTTGCAAGACAAAATAGAATTAGCAACCATATATCAGCCCCTTGTGAGTTGAAATTTCAAATTTAGTACTGTAGTAACAGCTTTTGCCTGTAACCCTGGGTGGTTGGTATCTGTCATAGCAATTTTTTTTTTTAAGATTTTATTTACTTGAAAGAGAAAGTGCACAAACAGGGGGAGTGGTAGACAGGGAGAGGGAGAAGCAGACTCCCCGACGAGCAGGGAACCCCATGTAGGGCTCAATCCCAGGATCCTGGGATCATGACCAGAGCCAAAGACACCCAATTGACTGAGCCACCCAGGCGCCCCTGCCATTGCAATTTAAACAGCAAAAAGGACTGATCCCAAGCCTGGGCCTCAACTAGCCCAGCACCTTTCAAGTGTCCTCAGGATCCCAGCTCTCCAGCGGGCCTAGGTTAAGGCCACCGCCTGCCACCCCCTCTCTAGCCCAGTGGCACCTCTATCACTCAGACTGCTCCCCAAGAACCGCACACACAATAGCAGCCACTTCCATGTACACAGAAGGTTCACAAATAACTCCCAAATCACAAGGAAGTCCTGCCTGTCAGCAGGCTGACACACACTGATTAGAGTCCCTCAAGTGGCAGGTGAAGTGAAACCTCTTTGTGCCAAAACTATTTCCTAAATAAATTTGCTGTTATTTTGTCTAGGGTGGTATACATCTTTAGTTTGACAGGCAACCAAAAAGATATAGGCTTTGGAAAGAACATCCTAAAGCACTAAATGTGTTATTTTATTTTAAGGACTTCTCACTTATCTTGGTATCCCTTGCTCCCTCAAACTTCGATTCTCCCACATGAAAATTCCTATCTTCAATTCCCTATTTCTTCTTTTCCCTCTTCATTTCAGAAGTATATGTGCATCTTTCCAAGACAAACATGTGGTCTATCAAATTCCTCTTCCTTTATCACTGAATCCAGCATTTCATTACAAAAAGTTCAAACTTTTCCATGCAAAAAGAGAAACACTAAATAAAGCCTACTCCTAAGTATACTCCTAAATACCCCTTACCCCCTACCCTCCCTTCAAGCTACGGGTCTAGCTTTCCCTGGCCCTTTAGTGGCAACTTCCTGCTTCCACCTATGCATACCCTTCCACCTAAGATTCAGTCCTGCTTTACCTCAATATTCCAGTCAACTGTTCTCTTAAATGTACTAATGACCTTCCAATCTCAAAATCAAACAGCATTTCTGACTTTCTTCATCAGCTTTTTGGTCAAGAACTTATCAACCCTGCCTTCTTGAAAACTTTCTTCCCAATCATGACATCAGTTTTCTGATTCTCAGTTTAATTCTCTTACCTCTGATCTCCCCTCTCCCCTTTCTAAAGCCTTTCCCTGTTAATCTGTCAAAGCACAGGGGCAAACCCCAAGGAGCTCCCCTTGCAATGTTATGAAGAGTGATGCATTTCATTGGAGGGTTTGGAGGTCCAGAGTGGACTTAATGGGCATTCATGGAAGGAGAAAGCAGAAGACAAAATCAGAATCTGATACAAATTCAGTAACTCTTAGCATTGACTTAACAGAGTGGGCCTCAACAACACACTAGAAAAATAATGTCTACTACAAAGCAATGACTTTCAAACCATACTCCAGATGGGGGAAGAAAGTTTTGATGTTTTAAATGCTTAATTTCCCTGAAATCTGTTTTAAGAAAGGGTTACAGTGCTTTCAAAAACCTTTAAAAGTACACTTCATAGTAAGATACAACTAAACACACAAGGAACTTGAAAATAAGAACAGCATACAAATTCCAATTCAACCCTCAGTTTCTTATCTGGCAAGTGTGGCCAATGATACCCTCCTACATACCACCTCACTGAACTAAACTGAGAAAAAGTAAAGGAAGTACTATAAAGTGGCTTTGAACCCTACAGCACTATTTAAACCTACACAATTATTTTAAAAGCAGTAAGTACTAAAATTTCCATAGAAATAATGACTACTTGAGTATTAATAATGGCTGTCACAAAAATCTAAAGCTACATTTTGGCTTTCCAATAATCAACTTAATCTTTTCATTTTAAAGGTCAAAATTAATATGGTAAAATTCCACATAGCTAACGAAAGTATTATACTGAAATCAAATAATACAAACGTTAACATATTATTAAGGTTCGTACTGATTAAATAAAATTTAAAAACATACACTTGCAAGAATGGTGGAAATGCTTCCTAAAGACTGCAAATGTTGGGGTGCCTGAGTGGCTCAGTGGGTTAAAGCCTCTGCCTTCAGCTCAGGTCATGATCCCAGGGTCCTGGCATCTAGCCCCACACGGGCGCTCTGCTCAGCAGGGGGGCTGCTTCCCCCTTCCCCTCTGCCTGCCTCTCTGCCTACTTGTGATCTGTCAAATAAATAAAATCTTTAAAAAAAGAGAAAGAGACATTTTAGAGACCTACCTTTTTAAACCCAAAGATTGCTTTAAGCATGTCTTAATTTCACCACTACACAGTGAACTCTGTATTTCTACATTAGATACATACCTGAAATAATTATTCTGTGCATCTTTAAGTTGAAAAAATATTCCTCATTTTTAATTTCAAAACTATAATCTCACAAATTACTCTAAAGTAATAAAAAATTATACCTGAAATTATAAATAAAAATATATAAAAATTTATAGCTGAAAATCTAAGATTTCAGAGAACAACCTGCTCTCATAATTAAATGTGAAGCCTCTATCGTACATTTAACTCTCCCATAAAATACTATCAAGAAGTTGGTCAAATCCATATATTCATTAAAAGCAGACATTTAAGGATTAAGTCCTCACTAATTCTCATTTAACCATAGGATTTAAATTCAGTATTCCACGAAAGCTGTATCACGACCCTAGGTATTTAACAGAACCTCCTAGCTTTTGTAAAGGCCAAAGGTGCGGCTTCCTCCCACAACACACACATAAAAATTATTATTCCTTTACTATCTACTAAGGAAACAGATCCTAATTTAAATTCCTACATACAGACTTTTTTTTTTTGAAAAGACTAATAGCTAATTAGTTAGGAGCTATTCAGTTACAAGCAAGGATACCTAACTTAAATGACCCTGAGCCAAAAGAAGAATTTATTGGCCCACATAATTTAAAACACCAAGGGAGGGAGGGAGCACCTGTGTGGCTCAGTCAGGTGGGCATCTGCCCTTGGCTCACGTCATGGTCCCCGAGTCCAGGATTGAGCCCTGCATCAGGCTCCCTGCTCAACAGGGAGTCTGCTTCTCCCTCTACTCGTGCATGCGTGCACACACTCTCTCTCTCTCTAATAAATAAAAAAAATAAATAAAACACCAAGGGAGGGCCCAAAAGGATACAGTCATTAAGAGCTCATGACCTCAACTATGTTTTCAGACAGGCTCTCCACACGTGGCAGCTTGGAAAAGTAGACATCAGAAGTTTAAGACTCACATCCAACTCACAGCTACCTCAAGAAAAGGGATAACCTTTTTTAAAGAGCCCTCCCCAATACTTTTGCCACAGCTCGGATCAGTTCAGATTAGGTCACATACCCCGATCTGAAATAATCACTGTTCTTAGAAGAATGCAGAGCTCTGGTGGGCTGGCTTGAGTCACGTACCACTCCTGGGGTTGAAGAGAGACTCTTGATGGAATGAAAAGGGTTATTATAAAATGAGGGATGGTGGTACCCTAAAGGAATGTTAGATGAACAAATAACATCTATGTCAGTCATGAGGGTGTACTCCCCAAAAAATACCACTAGGGTGTTTTGAGGAGCAGTGGCAGACTATCAAATGCAAAAATTATACAGGGGCGCCTGCGTGGCTCAGTGGTTTAAGCCTCTGCCTTAGGCTCTGGTCATGGTCTCAGGGTCCTGGGATCGAGCCCCGCATCGGGCTCTCTGCTCTGCAGGGAGCCTGCCTTCCCCTCTCTCACTGCCTGTCTCTCTGTCTACTTGTGATCTCTGTCAAATAAATAAATAAAATCTTTAAAAAAAAAATTGTACAAAGCAGGGCTTTTGGATTACATGTAGTTATTCTCACCAATTTACTCATTTTCAAAAAACAAGTAATTAGTGACAAATGCCTCCTTTTTCCTGCCAACTTTCCTAAATGTATTTAATCTTAAAAGCTGAATTATGAAGACAAATGTATAACAAACTAAAACTTAATAGTTAAAACCGTAAGGGCACCTGGGTGGCTCAGTGGGTTAAAGCCTCTGCCTTTGGCTCAGGTCATGCTCCCAGGGTCTTGGGATCAAGCCCTGCATTGGGCTCTCTGCTCAGCAGGGAGCCTGCTTCTCCCTCTCCGCCTACTTGTGATCTCTGATGTCAAGATTTTAAATAAAATCTTTAAATAAAATCTGAAGATTTTAAATAAAATCTTTTTAAAAAAAAAGTTAAAACCACACTTTCTTTCAAGAAGAAAGCATAGGAGAAAATCTTTATAATCCTGGGGCAGGCAAAGAATTCCTAGAACACAAAAAGTATGACTTATACAAGAAAAAAAAACAACAAACTGGACTTAGAAAAATTTAAAAGTTTGGCTCTTAAAAAGACACTAGTGAAAAACCGACACCTAACATCATACTTAATGGTGAAAGACTGAGTGCTTTTGCTCAAGATCAAGACAAACACATCCACTGTCACTATTCAATACTGTACTAGAAACTCTAGCCAGTGCAATTAGGTAAGAAAAAGAATTAAAACTATCTCTATTTATAGATAACATGATCTTGTACAGAGAAAATCCTAAGGAATCTACTAAAAAGCTATTAGACTAATAGACAAGCTAAGTAAGGCTGTAGGGTACAAAAATCAACATACAAAAGTTGACTGTATTTCTATATTGTTTACCAATGAATAATGGCAAAATAAAAAATTTTTTTAAGATTTTATTAATTTATTCGACAGAGACACAGCAAGAGAGAGAACACAAGCAGGGGGAGTAGGAGAAGGAGAAGCAGGCCTCCCCCAGAGTAGGAAGCTGATGTGGGGCTCAATCCGAGGACCCTAGGATCATGACCTGAGCCAAAGGCAGACACTTAACAACTGAGCCACCCAGGGGCCCCTAAAATAAAAAATTTTAATTCTACTTATAATACTATCAAAAAGAATAAATTTAGGGGCACCTGGGTGGCTCAGTGGGTTAAGCCTCTGCCTTCGGCTCAGGTCACGGTCTCAGTGTCCTGAAATCGAGCCCCGCGCATCGGGCTCTCTGCTCAGCAGGGAGCCTGCTTCCCCCCTCCCTCTGCCTGCCTCTCTGCCTACTTGTGATCCTCTCTCTCTCTCTCTCTCTCTCTGTCAAATAAATAAATAAATAAATAAATAAAATCCTTATAAAAAAGAATAAACTTAATAGAAGTATAAAATATATATACTGGAAACTACAAAACATTACTGCAAGAAATTAAGTAAGACCTAAATAAATTGAGATGACATCTTATGTTGACAGATGGAAATCTAGCATTAAGATAGAAATAGTTCCCGAATTATTCTACAGATTCAATGCAATCCCTATAAAAATTCCAGCTAGATTTTTTTTTTTTTACAGAAATTGATGAACAGATGCTAAAATTCATATGAAAATGCAAGGGATCCAGAATTGCCAAAATAATCTCAATAAAGAATAAGGTTAAAGACTCACATCTCTCAATTTCAAAACTTACTACAAAGCTACAGACATTATGGCAGTATGGTACTGGCCACAGGCTAGACATAGAGGTCAGCAGGACAGAACTGGGAGTCTAGAAATAAACCCTCACATTCAGGATAAACTGATTTTTGACAAGGCTGCCAAGACAACTCAACGGGGAAAGAATAGTCTTTTTACCAAATG